TCTAATTTAAAAAAATAAAAAGACAACCCCCTGTTACCTGACACTAAATGTTGTGGCCGTGCTGGGAATCAGACACTGCTCTGAAATTCCTCCAGCCCCCGAGCCCCAGGCTGCAGGTGGATTTCCCACCAGCTTTGCAGGCTGTGGAAAAGGTCATTGCAGCGTCGGAACGCGGCTCGGGAGCAGGGCCAGGTGGCGAGCCGGCCGTGCCCGCAGGCCCCGCGCTGCTTTGCCCTGTCTGCCGGGGGGAAAGGGCCCTGTCCACTCCCTTTGCTGCCAGCTGCCTCCTCCGTTCAGCTGCAACTGCTGTTCCTCCTCCCACTGAACGCCCGAGTTTGACCTCAAACCCAGTAAGCAGACGGCATAAAAGAGGGAAGATCCAGATCCAGTCCATGCTTTAACATGCAGTGTTCTCAGTTAATTTGTTTGGGGATTTTCAGTGTTACCCCAGGGAAAACACTGAAGCTGTTCGTTTGCAGTCATCATACTTGATTGTAGCTATGTAGCAGATTGTGCTTGCCTGCCCCTCATCAGTTAGACTGACATGGAGGAGGGGGTGATATTCCTTTGACTGTGCAGTTCTGTTGTTGAACTGCTTTGGAGATAACTTTTTTTTAAGGGTTGACAGCCCAGGATCCCCCAAAATCTCATCTTGCAGTGATGACCACACATGCACAGGGTGTGAGGGCAGTTAAGATACCATCTTTAGACCCAAACTGAAGTTGCTCCCCTCTCCCAACTAATCCTTCCATCACCTACAGTGATGCTGGGTCACTGTCCAGTTCCTGCTGGAGAACTGTTCTCATCTGATATTCTCTGGCCACCTTTGCCTGAGGAAAGGAACTAAATTCCCCATTGCCCACATAAGTCCTCCCTGGAGCTTGTCCCATCTGGTGACAGCCCACAGTGTCACCTGCTTCCAGGATGTAAATTGGGGTCTCTCCTGCCTGATGTTCAGGCTTCTCTCACAACGGCTGCTGTAGTTTTGTGGTCCAGGCTGAGACTGAGAGAATGACTCCCCCAGCACCTTCCCTGCTGCCATGGCTGGAGTCCAGAGCTATGGACTGGAGAGGAACTGCCCACGTATTGATGGGCGGGCAGTGCAGGGCTGGTGGCCAGTGGCTGCAGGAAAGCTTCCCAGAAAGGCACCTTCATGGCCCTTGACGCAAACTGATGGTCCGATCACCCTGGTCCTTGCCCAGGCCCGAGCCTGGCCTTGAGCCCTCTGATCAGAGCAGTCATGTGGCAGTTGGCTAATGAGGTGACGCCCTGCACGGGCAGCACATTGTCAGGGGGAAGAGGAAGCGGAGACAGGCCGAGGGAGAGCTTTACGATCTTTTCTGTCCTACCAGCCATGGATAGGAAGCAGAAGCAAGCAGAGAAGGTACAGTATGCCCCCGATTAACACCCTTCGTTTCTTCCCAGCCCCACTCTTCTTTCATGCTTTGGTAGTTCCCCTTTCTCTTGTTTTTAACGTTCCTTGTCCCAGCCTCGATCTCATGGTTCTCGCCAGGTCCTGCAGAGAGCATAGGGCATTTTCTGTGGAGGCTCAGTACCACACAGGGGCTTTGTCACCTTGCAGATGTAGCTCTTTCTTTCTTCTTCTTCGTGTTTAACTGTGGGGAGGAGGTGGGGGGACAGCTATTTTCTCAATGGCTTGGAAATCAAAGGGAATGTTCTCACTGGTCTCAGTACACGGACGATGCAAAGTCCGGAGTCCTGTGTCTGATTCAGCAGATCCAATAGAGGGGGAGGAGCAGAGAAGTAAAACTTTATGGAGTACATTTTAAACCTCTTCAAGATGAAGAATGTCCAACCCTGGTCACCCAGGAGGATGCTGTTACTTTGAAGGAACACCAACAAGTTCATTGCCTGGTTAGCAGCTGGGTTTGCTCAGTTTCATGTCTCTGCCCAGGGAAATGCTGGAGTGCTTTCACTCCTAGGAGCCTGTTGGCATCACCCACCATTTCCTCAGCAGCTCTCCCTGTTCCTTCTCCAGAGGCTCCTGTAATTTGGCCAGTTCCATACTGGTACAACTGGATAGAGTTTCTCTTCATATAGCTGGGTCCTCCAGTAACTGGGAGGTTCACCAGCACAGCAGAGCATTGCTCCAAGGCCTACACATCACAGCCAGTCCTTCCCTGACCATCACTGGTAATGTATGGTCCCTGGCCAGTCAAAGAAGAAGCATTTTAATTCTGCCCCAGACTTACCTAAATTCTCCCTCCTCAAAGCCAAGAGGGTAGTTTGATGTGGAACAAGGGTTTGGCTTAACTGTTATAAGAAGTAATGAAACCATTTCTGACAGTGAGATGAATATTTCTCCCACAAATTTCTTCCTTCCCACGGGATGGAAGGGTTTGACTTTGTCAAACACATGGAGACTTTCAGCTGGAAGGCATGCAGAGAGTGGGAGATGTATCGTTATCCTGGTGATGTTTCCTCTGCTGAGCTGTGAATCAGTGACTTGGGGGATCAGGTTTCTGTCCTGCAGCCATGTCTGGCGTGCAGTCAGCAGACCTGTGCTGTGTGTTGGCACTTTGTGGCAGACCTGTGCTGTGTGTGGCACTCTGTGTGCTCTGCTCCCATGCTGAGAGATCCACGTGCCCTCAGAGAAGCTGGGGAGGAGACTCCCCAGAGCCAGGTGGTTTGCTGCATCGGGGGGAAGTTTTGTCTCCACATTTGCTCTGTGCTTTGCAGGCCAGGCCCTACGGCCTGCTGAAGCCGGCAGCTTTAGGCAAGATCCCAGGCAGATTCCAGCTGCACCAGGAGGCCCTGCCCCCCCTCCCCGTGCCGCCGCTCCAGCAGACGCTGGACAGCTACCTGCTGGCTCTGAAGCCCATCATCAGCGAGGAGGAGCTGAACCACACCCAGGAGCTGGTGGCCGAGTTCCGCAAGCCGGGAGGCGTCGGGGAGAGGCTGCAGAAGGGCCTGGAGAGGAGAGCCAAGAAAACGGAGAACTGGGTAGGTTGGGACTCTGGCCCCAGGCTCTGGTTGGGGAGGGTGTAGGTCTGACCCACGCACCTCTCCAGCGTCGTGGCTGCATCCGCTGGCACGTGTGGTTTTGGGGCATCACGTCCATAGCCAGTTTGCTGCCCTGCCCAAGCTGTGCCAGCTCCTCACCAGGACTTGGGCGAGCAGAACAGGGAGTCGCTGGCCCTGTCTGGGGCTGCTGAAGCCTCTACTCTGTTAGCATAACACAGCTGCCCCAAGAAGCAGAAGGAAACTCTCTCCTCGAGCCCTGCCCCACGTTCCCCCACCGCCTCGCTCAAATCCCCCTCTACCCTTCCACGTGCAAAGCATAAAACCCAAACAGTTTGTCTGCTAAGTGTGGGGCAGAAGCAGGGGCAGGACGTGGAGACTGCTCAGCTGGGCAGGGGTCAGGGGGCAGCAGATGCTGTGCCTGCATGGTGCCTCTCTCCCTGGCAGCTGTCAGACTGGTGGCTGAGGACAGCTTACCTGGAGTACCGCCTGCCCGTCGTCGTCCACTCCAGCCCCGGCGTGGTCCTTCCCAAGCAGGACTTTCTGGATCGGCAAGGTCAGCTCAGGTAAAGTCCTTTCCTACCTCCCCCTGGGTTTCAGGTGGGATGAGCTATCTCTGCTGGACACTGAGAAGGGCGCTGAGGCTGATTGGGAAAGAGCAATTTTGTGCAGTTTGGCTGTGCAGGTAAGGGAAGGCTGCCAGGCTGTAAGGAAACTCCTGGTTACACCAGATGAAATACTTCATCAAGGAGGAAGAACCCAGAGTCCAGTGGTTCAGGCACTAAACAGAGACTAAAACCCTACATTTTGGCCTTTGCTGTAGCACAGATGCTCACTGCAATATGGTCAGGTCACTGCAGGCACTGCGAGGATATATCTGATATGCTAAAGACAAAGATTGTGGGTGCAGTTAAAGGAGGCATAAAAAGTAGCCCTGGCATGTAACAGAGACCAACCAGAAATGCCTCTGGAGTTTGCTAGTTTATAGGGATGCAGGGACTGTCCTGTCATTTCACTTGTGATTTTTGGTGTGGGAAACTTAACAGTCACCAGCCTCTGCACTCTGAGGTTTTCCTGCAGCCAAACCCTGCCATGTCCTCTCTTCCTTGCAGTCTCCCTTTAATTTTTAACCACCACCACGAGTGTGTTAAATCCACCTGCAAAACTTCAGCATCGACCTTTACACAGTTACCTTTGCCACAGTTACCAGTCACCAGTGCTGTGGCAGATCAGATGTACCAGCCAGGGGAGCAGTGAGGCTGAGAACAAATCCTCCTTCCACTCCCTCAGATACACCTGAGGTGCAGGGCGTGAGCTTTCCAGGGACAGAACAAGACTAGCCAGACATCTTTGAAAGCTCTCCCTTGCATTAGTCACTCTTAAATTAGCCAAATAGAAGATAAGATCTGGAGCACTGCCAGTGCCCCAGCCTGTGGAAGGAGGTGCCTGGGTAAGAATCTGGGCTCCCATGTAAAATACAACCTAAATGTGTGTTTGTAGAGCTTGTACCTCCAGAGGGAAGTTTTACAGCATGGCTTGAGAATAAAGCTTCAGAAATCAGAAGGCAAGTTTAGAAAGGGAAGTTCTCCAGCCTTTAATCTGCCAAACTGCTGGCTGAAAACAAGTCATCTAACCTCCCCCTGTCTGCTCCTCAAGCCCCAGCTCTGCTCCCAGGCTGTGTGCTCTCTGGAAAGCAGCACAAGCTCTCTCACTGCTGTTTCCCAGCTGGTTTACTTCCTCAGGTTTTGCAGTAAGGCTGGGAAATTTTCACTGAAAACTGCTTTGCAGGATATCTTATTTATTTAACAGCCCTTAGGTTGCTGGAATGATGTCCTTTGATCTTCACTAGGGGTGGGTAGGCTGAGCAGATCTAGATGACACTGCCTGCAAATGCCAAATGCTCGCACCACTTTAAAGCCTTTGAAGCTCATCTGACTGTAACCTCTTGCCACAGTGACCTCTTGCCTCCTTCCTCCCATGTGTGGGTGGGACCGCCCAGGTTAGAGTAGGCCAACCTGTCACTCCCAGTCAAGCAGTTTGATGTGGCCTGTCACAGCTCCCTCCCTGCTGGGAGCTGGCACTGGCAGTGTTTACGTTGATCCTGGTAAACACAACAGCTCAGTGTCAGCATGCAGCATGCCTGCATTTGTTTCAGATCCCTCAGTGCCAGAGGAATGTTCTTGAGAGTTGCATTAGCAGCAGAGCACTCATGGGGTAGGAATGCAGTCAGCAGCAGTGAGCCTCAGATGCAGGGAGAGACAGCTGTGGCTTAGCTTGGAACTCAGAGTGGCCCCTGGCCAGGGAAGGGCCGAAACCCCCTTCGCTTGGTGCCATTTTAGTGCTAAGGGTGTGGTAAAATCACAACACGTCAGTGAAAAATGCTGCTGTTAGAGGGTCATTTATGCATCTGGACTGGACACTGCTTGCTTGAAAGCTGTCCAGAGTTCCTTGGTTATACAGTGAGATACATTAGAAAAGGAAAGTGCTGCACGGTGGGATTATCCAGCAATCTCAAATCACAACCCCAGGGCGATGGTGCCAGCTAAGCAGAGATGGGCACAGCAGAGGCTTGGCAGGAAGGCTGAACTTCCTGAGGAGCAGAGTGAAGCCCTGCCAGCCCTCCTCTGCTGCTGCCTCAGCCCCGGATGTTCCGTGTTTGAATCTCAACTTCTTACGTTTGATGTTTTTCCAGGTTTGCTGCCAAGCTGATCGAGGGCATCCTGGATTTCAAGACCATGATTGACAAGTGAGTTATTGACCCTCCTGACTTCTCAAGTGTTCCTGTCACAGAGGCTGAGCCCAGACAATAAGTCTCCCTTCCAAATAGAAAGGCAAGAGAAGACAGCACATACAAAAAGAGACATTGTAATCAACATCACTGCTCCCTGCCAAGGTCACCACCACAGAAAAAAAAGCAAATTTACTTTTCTTTCTTCACGTTATTCTTCCCAAATACTTCCACTGGCACACGAATCTGCTCAGAGGGAGTGAGCCTGGCTGATGGTCCTGGGGAGCTGTGTACTTTTGTTTGCTCGTAGAACAAGTTACAGCTCAGGCAACAGGAATTTGTTTCTCTTATTTTGGGTTTCTGGTGTTTCTCATCTCCCAGCTAAATGGGATCAGCTTTAGAGAAACATGTTCCTTCCTACCCTTTTTCTTTTACTCACCAACAAACCTCTGCTGAACATGCCTCACTTACGTTCCAAAAGTACATTTACCAACACATTACCAACATCACACCTTTATATCCCAGTTCAGACCAGGCTCAGGGCCAGCTGTGAGGAGCACAGTTGGAATATGACTGTTCAGGTGAATGAGTCCCAGTCTAGCTCTTGCATTACAGATAGCACATCAGACACTCACACTCAAAATTCTAGCCAGAACCCTCTTTCTGCCATTTGCCTAGAAACAGTACATCTCCCAGTATATTGTGCCCTGGACTGTCTGCAGACAGCATGGTGTAGGCCATGGAGTAGGTCCACAGATCTATTTCTCTGGTGTTACAGAGAGGATAGTTTTTCTCCTTCCTAAATGAAAGGCCAGCAGACAGACATTTTTTGTAGCCTTTACTAAGCAAGCTGGTAGGAATGGGGATGGGTGGCCCCTTTTTTATACCACCAACACAGTTAGGTCTTGCTGGAGTGAGGGACAGCAGCTGCATGGCTGGGCTTGTGCCTGTCTTCTTTGTGAGGGTGGCAGGGCTTCTTACTTGTCTCTTTTCTCTCCCCGTTCCTCCTTCCCCTGCTGTGTCTCCAGTGAGACCCTCCCAGTGGAGTACATGGGTGGGAAGCCCCTGTGCATGAACCAGTACTACCAGATCCTCTCCTCCTGCCGCATCCCCGGGCCCAAGCGGGACTCCATCGTCAACTACGCCCAGGGCAAGAAGCAGTCCAGGCACATCACCGTGGTGCACAACTTCCAGGTACAGCACCCACTGAGCCCCCGGGCTGTGCTGAGCTGCAGGTGTCCCTTCCAGCTACCCATGGTCCAGAGGAAAGGGAACCACAGTCTCTGCCTACAAGGTTTGCCTCATTGGGGATTTGTTCCTGCTCCCGTTATCTGCTTTGGCCTGAGGTGGCCAGCAGCTGAGATTGCTGTGTGTGAGCAGCAGGCTGTGAGGCAGAAAAACGCTCTCTTCCTCTGCTTGTCCCTGCAATTCCCATCTCTCAAAGCCCAGAGACCATGTCTGGAGCTGGAAATTGCAAGTGGGGAATGGATAGCAAACCCTACCACCACAGCTGAGTCTCAGGAACAGGAATTCCTCTCCTGTTTTAGCCCTCATTGCCATGGTTTCTGAGCTTCCTAAAACCTGGACTGTATTTATGCCCTGCGAGGGAAACTGAACTTGGGTCTCTCAGTTCTGAATATCCTTCAAAGGTCTGCTTAGAAGCCGAGCTCTTAGGTCAGGTCTTACTTTCTCAAAGTGGCTGTTGCCTGTTTCTGGGGCTGGATAATAAATATCTTTTCTCATGTTCTGTCTCTGTCCTTGTCCACTTTTCTCACCTTCAGTTCTTCGAGCTGGATGTTTACAACAGTGATGGAAGTCCCCTTACTACTGACCAACTCTTCATTCAGCTGGAGAAGATATGGAACACCTCTCTCCAAACTAACAAAGAGCCTATTGGGATCCTCACTACCAACCACCGAAACAGCTGGGCAAAAGCCTACAACAACCTGCTGAAAGGTCTGTAGAGCCCCTCACCTGCCAGTGCTAACAAACACCACAAATGCTTCAACTACCAACCTCACCAGTATGCTCTGCTCAGTTCTTTCCTTTGGAAGCTTGTTCTGGACAAGCTAACATGAGCTTTCCACCTCAAAGAAGCAACTTGATTTCATTGCAAAGTGTTGTTCTTTTTGGTTTGAAAGGTACATAGGTGAAGTCTGAAGCCTGGTTTGTTAGACCTGAAATACTAGAGGATGTTGTCTTGCAGACGGGTGGGATGGAAGAAGCTTGAAAAAAGGAGGGTGAATACAGCATGCTCACATCTGTAACTATGCAGCTGGCTCCAATTTTAGCAAGTCCATACACCCCTAAGTGACCAGCATTGCGTTGAGGTCCAGTGGAAGGCCAACGCTGGGTCCTTCAAATTCCAATCCCCCTCCAATTAAAATGCACGTTTTCCAACTCCCCTTCCTTACTCGCCGCTCGTTCCTCTCCCAGATAAGACCAATAAGGAGTCCGTGCGTACGATCGAGAAGAGCATTTGCACTGTCTGCCTGGATGCCCCCATGCCACGGGTGTCTGAGGACATCTACAAGAGCCGCGTGGCCGCCCAGATGCTGCACGGCGGAGGCAGCCGCTGGAACAGCGGGAACCGCTGGTTCGACAAAACCCTGCAGGTGAGTGCTGCTGCTCTAAAGGTGCTGAGGACACGAGGCTGGAGGAGATGCTTTTTCCTGAGACTGGGGAGGTCCAAGAAACTTCGCAGGAAAGTCTTCCTCCTGTCAAGAGAGTGGAGAAATAAGGGAGATGAGCTGTGGTGGCTGACAAGGAGATCCTGTGGCTCCCCTTGCACTCATTCCTGCCTCAGGGACTTTTGTTTCTTCTGCTGCCTCTGCCCACGTTTGTTCAGTGTAGCAGTGCTTTGTGTTCCTTGTAAATCAATTTTCTGCCTGCAGTGAACAATGCCTCATCTGCTTGGAGGCAGCCCAAACGTAGGGAGGTCTGTTCCTTGTATCTCCTCTAGGCTTGTCACTTCTCCTGTTTCTGCCAGAAGCAGTCCAATGGCTTTTTGTTTTGATTTTTTTTTTCCCAAATGTAAGCTGCCATCCCACAACATCCCTCTGATCTCTTCTCCATTCAGTCGTTTCAAGAGCCTTCAACAGCAGCTGTTATTTGAGCTTCTCCCTTCAGTAGCTGGTATATCCTGGCTTGTGGGTAGTAGCAATGGTGCTTTAAAAGATTCTTCTTGTATCTGCTGAACTCTTTATAATGTTGTCAGCTACTTTGTTCCCATTTGGAACTCTTCACTGATAGGATAAAGCTCAGATGTCCCAGCTAATTGAAAAGTAAGGGTAAGCCAGTATTAAGTAAATCCAAAGCACTGAACCACCCTGTCTTGCCAGGACACTGAGCCCAGCAGTGGATCTATCCAGCACACTCTTACCCAGATCATTTTGCAAAGGTGTAACACTGCTGTCAGATCTGGGCCTGCTGAGAGGCTCCCACTGCCCTGCTAAGTGAGACCTCTGCGCTACCTTCCCAGTGTGCAAGGACAGAATCATTCTGATGCCAAGACCTCTCTTGGTAGCTCTTGCTTCACACGCTGGGTGTCTGTCTTCAACACTGTCCTCCCATGCTTCTCTCACAGTTCATCATTGCTGAGGATGGCTCCTGTGGGCTCGTCTACGAGCACGCTCCTTCAGAAGGCCCACCCATCGTCGCTCTTCTGGATCACATCGTGGAGTACACGTGAGTGCTGCCTCCTCTGCTCTCCCTCAGCGCTGGAGACAGCGTTTCATTCATAGCCTGAAGAATCTTCCAGCCTGTGACTAGTGTCCCAAGGTGTTCAGGAAGATGTCCTGTGCATTTCTACCCAGGTTCTGGTGTGCTTAGTTGAGCCTCATGTTAAAGGCCTGGTTAAACATACTCATTTCTCCACGCAGGAAGAAACCTGAGCTGGTAAGATCACCCATGATTCCTTTGCCGATGCCCAAAAAGCTGCGTTTTAACATCACTCCAGAAATCAAGAATGACATAGAGAAGGCAAAGCAGAACCTCAACATGTAAGTATGAAGCAGTGGAGAGGCATGGTGAGTGAGAGAATAACTCACACCCGCCTTGGAACATGTCCATGGTTTAAATGAGGCTTCCCCAGGCAGCTGGGGAGTTTTCCCCGTGACTTCTTGGGTCAACAGCATTAAATCTAACTGAAAAACACACTAAAGCCACCTGCCAGGAATAAAGTCAGAGGTGCTAGAAGGGGGTAATTACTGACCCATCCCGTTTATGGAGAAAGAACAAGGATTTAGTTAATCAAATTAGGGACACTGGAGCGTAAACACACACACAAAAGCCCATCTAACTTGGTGAAGATTTTCAACAGTGGCCAAAAAGCTCATTTCTGTGATGCTGCCAGAATGAATCTGTGTGTGATGGAGCTCGCTGTCCTGTGTAGGTCAGATCCAGATAGACTGCTCTCTCTGAGCCTAGTGAAAGCAAATCCATTACTTCACGTTACAAGAACGAGCAACAGCCAAAGGAACACTTCTTTCTTTCCTTGCAGAATGGTTGAAGACCTGGATATCAAAGTTGCAGTCTTTCATCAGTTTGGGAAAAACTTCCCTAAATCAGAGAAAATAAGTCCTGATGCTTTTATCCAGCTGGCCTTGCAGCTAGCGTATTACAGGTAAGAGCACCAGTAGGCAGCTTCTCAGCCTCCTCACTGTCAGACTCAAAGATGTAAGCTGGATAAAGGTGGCACAGACTAGTCTGTCACCATGGCCCACTTCCCAAGGCCCACGTTTTCCCCAAGCACTGGGACCAAACAGCAGAGCTCCCCTCTGGCAGCTGCCAAGCAGCAGGAGAGATTTCCCCCTCTGCGTGCGTACAATCCACGTGAGGAAGCATCAGAGGCCGGCCATCAATGGCACTCGCTCACCTCAAGTCTTCCTCTTCCCCCCCATTTCTGCTTCACGAGAGGCCGTTTGTGCCCGGGCAGACTCCCCTCTGTGAGTTTCTTCTCCCTGCTCCAGGATGTACGGCCACGCCTGTGCCACGTACGAGAGCGCGTCGCTGCGCATGTTCCGCCTGGGCCGCACGGACACCATCCGCTCCGCCTCCGTGCACTCCCTCAGCTTCGTGCAAGCCATGGACAACCCCAGCACACCGGTGAGGCTCTCGGAGGAGTGGAGCAAGAGGACTCCACTCCAGAGAAAGAGGGAAGCTGTTTATCTGGCTAACCCTTTGTCAGCTGGTTTCAGCTGAGCAGAACTGCACCTGAAATGAAGCTGAGCTAAAATATAGCTCGGAGGATGTAGTTACCCACTTGGGGTTTCGTTTGGCTTTCCTTTCACACGTATGGAAAGCCTGGGAGAAAACACATGGACATTTCTAATACCCACCAAAAAGTAGCATGTCCCTTCTAAAAGTCTGTTTAGCTACTCCAACTAAGTTCTGCCACTGATGGATGGAGAACTCCATTCAGAGTGAAGTAATGCAGCCAAAGAAAATTACTTAAAAATTAAATCCCATAAATCTAAAAATTAGTCTAGTATGCACATACAAGGCAGAAATTCCCTCTGTCCTAGAGGAACAGCCAAAATAAGGTTTTTCATTCTGCAGAAAAACTTACAGACAGATCTGTGTGTTCTCAGGACCAGGAGAAAACAGACTTGCTGAGGAGAGCTACCCAGGCCCACAGGGAATACACCGATATGGTGAGTGTCCTCCCTGCAGCCTGATGTGGGGGTTTACCTAGCAAATGAGGGTTCTGGTGAAAGATGAGACAAGAGCTTTCTCTGCTGACATAACAACGTGGCTGTTAGTGCTGTTGCATCTATGTGACAAGGGCTATAGGCCATGGACTGAATGCTTTCTCTCTAGCTAGTGGTTTAAGTGTCCCTCATCACTTCAGTTCTCACTGTTGTTGTTGCTGATAAATGCCAAAGTTGCCTGAGGACCCCTTAAACCAGAGGGAGCTATAGGAGCTACAGCAGGAACTGCAAGGCTGGTTCCACTGGTGTGTGTAATTTCACAGTGCTTACAAACAAGACTGACTAATGGTCCGAAAGGCAAGATCTAGTTTCCTTCTAACATATTTTTTTAGAAGTGTTCTTTTCTTTAACCCAAAAAATTGATAGCTTTGCTCACTTCCCTGCTAGAGAGGCTTTCATCTGGTCTTCCTTCCTTGCAGGCAATAAGGGGCAATGCAATAGACCGACACCTCTTGGGCTTGAAGCTTCAAGCTATTGAGGACCTCGTGAGCATGCCCGAGCTGTTCATGGACACAGCCTATGCTGTTGCAACGCACTTTAACCTCTCCACCAGCCAGGTAGGACTCATCTGAGCAAAGACAGAAGTGCTCTCTCTGGTTCTTTTCATTGCCTTTCTTCTGCACATTTCTCCTTCATTCCCTTCCGTTAGAAACTCATCTTCATTTGGAGACAGAAATTTTAAATTGTGCTACCACTCCCATAAAGCTGCAGATCTATCTATCTATCAGCTGCCATAGTCCTTCTCAACCCTGTAAAAAACGAGCATGACCAAAGCCAAGGTCACCAGAAGTGTTTGGGGTCTAAATACAAGTGAGATTAATTTAAGTTAGCTGCTGGAACAGCTTTATGTTCATCTGCTGTGCTGTGATTAGTAGTACAGCTCTGCTTGTGACTTAAGACAAGCTTACCTTGGGGAGAAGTACTCCTTTGCAAAAGCAGAGGAAAACATACTACTGCTAAATGGCAGAACTCACTGTGTGGTGAGAGTGGAGTCTGACCAAAAAGGTCCTCTTCTAGAGCATTTTAATGCCACTTTTAATGTTGTGGGGTTTTGTTTTGTTTGTTTATCTTCAGCTGTTGACAGAGCTGTTAGCAGCTGATGGTTACATTTCTCTGACCGGTTAGAAGTTTTTAATCACTCTGTCTCCACAGGTCCCAGCAAAGACAGACTGTGTGATGTGTTTTGGTCCCGTGGTTCCAGATGGCTATGGAATCTGTTACAATCCTATGGATGAACACATCAACTTTGCAATTTCAGCATTCAACAGCTGTGCTGAGACAAACGCAGCCCGCATGGCACATTATCTCGAGAAGGCACTGCTGGACATGAGGGTCTTGCTCCAGTCCACTCCCAAATCCAAACTGTAAGAAGCAAACGTGCTGCAAAATCCCTAACTAAAGGGGCTAACCCCCATGCACTGAAGTTCCCAGGTTCTCAGAAAATGACTGAGGCGACAGCTTGCCCTGGAACCTAGGAGGACATCTACCATTTGTTTTCAGCAAGAGGTTACAAAATAGTCATCTGCAGATATTAGACTCTGGTGAGAGGAGACACTGTCTTAAGACAAAGCAGAACTGACTGGTCCTCTCCCATCCATTCAAAGTGCACCTTCCTGTCCTCAAAGAGGACTAGAAATGTGAATTTTGTGGAACTGTAAAGGACTACAGAACGCACAGTCCTTACCAGTATCTAAATCCATTTGGTGAGGAAGGTAGTTCTTCAGGAAAAGCAGAGAAGGTTTATTGTGTGATGGAACTACTTTAAGACCAAGTCTTTTTGCTGGTTTAGTCTTCTGAAGAGTGCAGCATCTTTCAAACTTGACTGAAGATTTTTCTTCTGCTCCAGCAAAACTTCACCATTAAACTTTGGCATGGGGAGAAAGAAGTTCTTCAGTCAGAGCAGATCCAGTCTCGTTGGAGTGCACTGCACTACTGACCCCAGGCACTCTGACCTGCTTTACAGGTCCGGGAATGTTCCCTTTCCCTTGTTACAGGATGCTGGGATCTCCTTTCTGTTGCACTGACCTTATTTAAGAACAGAATATCATTGTCTACAAACTAAGGGGTTTTTTTTTGTTCTTGTTCTGGGCTTTTTATTAAGCTTGCTGTTTTGGTCCTAGCCCTTGACCTTCAGGCTCAGTGTAAAGCTTTTTCCCCACAAAGCTTTTCCAAAACTTCTCTCCCACAAAGGTATTGCTAGCTTTGGCTTTACATACCTTAACATTTGTGGAGATGGGAAGGGACAGCCTATGCATTTAGCAGGACACTTACTTCATTGTACCTTTCTTTGGAATTGGGGAAAAGAAAAAGATGCTGACTTTCTGTTGACTAGCTAGAAGGCCACCTGCTTAGTCTCCTTCAGAGCACATGTTAACCCACTGTAGTTTTATAGCTTGCTTTCAGAAACAACATATTTGTGCAGAATGTGTTATGCCCAAGTTGTGGACAAATAAGAATGTTTCTGATTGGGAACTCCAGAACGTGTTTCCATTTCTGGCTCACAGAGTTCAAGTCTGTTAACAGCCAAAGGAAAAGCCACTGCAGAAACACCCTTATTTCACATCACTCTGCTTTAACAAAGCAGAAAATCTTGAAAAGCAGGAAGAAAGCTGAGAACACGTAGATGTTTGTGCACTGTGGCAGCCCTTGCTCCTGCAGTAAGAGTACAGCAGCTTTTCTGCTGCTCCTGGGAGGTTTTTTCTTACTGCAGTGTTACTCAGATTTGTGCCAGCTCTATTCTGTGTGAGAATGGTCTCATGATAGTGTTTTCATGTTCAGTTGACAACTTGATATAGTAAAAAAATTACACATAAACAACATACAATTGTAGCATAAGAATTTTTGTAAGCACTAATTCCAGTGAATCTGCCAGAATCCAAGCTCCTGACTCTACTTAGCACTAATTCCAGTGAATCTGCCAGAATCCAAGCTCCTGACTCAGCAGGAATTTAATATTTAAATTGCACACCCTTCAAGATGTGGCTGCTGGGACATCACCATAAAGAAGAAGCATTAGGAGTCTGATGGCCTGTACTGTTAACAGGGAAATCTTTTATCATAATTGCTACTTTTCTGATCATAGAACAGCAAGTGACATTATCAAAGTGCCTTGGTGAACATACATGAAGAAATTTGCACTAAACCTGTTCAAAGTAAAACAAACAAAAAGTAATTCTAATTTGCTTCTTGAAAGACAAGCCAACACTACTGCATTTTTTCCTGAAAGGATGTTATTTCAAAGCTTCTATCTTATACTTAAATAAACCTTAAAAAGGAGAATTTAACTGAAACTCACCTGCACAGCCAGTGATTGTATGAACTGCCACTTCCACATCATCTACATGGGTTTAGTTGATCTTTTAGAAGAATCCTGAATGGAGTGAGATTGTCTGAAGAAGCCAATAGGAGCACTACAAACGTGCAAGCATGCATCCCTGCTCTGTTGACTTCTCTGTGTAAATTAGACTGAAAACTGCAAGAGGATACTCAGTATTATCACAGTGCAAGTGATTGTGTAATTACTACAGAAAAGACCAGACCTTGCTGGAATAACATCTGGGTTTATGGGGCCTTTAACGCTGAAAAAATAGTCCTTTTGCCAAAGTAATCCTCCTGTCCTACTGAATCAACCTCTGTTGCCAGGGGATGAGCTCTCTCTCCTTGTCTGCAATGCCTTCAGCCACTGATGCTGCTGTATTGCCACTTCAGTATTTGAGACTCACCCTTTTCTACTTCAGTCTCCGAGGGGAAGGCTATCAAAGGAAAGTGCCTATTAAAGATTAAGCAGAAGTATGTGCTGCTGTGACTGTATCTCAGAAGATGGGATTGATCTATTCTGGATCTAAATCTGGATACCCCACTAGCTTCAGCAGAGTACAGCTGCAAGAAGCAGACTATGACACTGAAAGAGATCCAAGATGCATAAACCACTTCATGCACCCTTAATGATGTACGGAGCTGAAATTCAGATAAATGAAGCTGATTTTTGAAGTGCTCGAAAGGACACTGAAATCATTACAAGGTTTTTCCTTTTAAAAGTCTTTTCTTATTGTACAAATTCTGAACTGTGATGTCCTTCCAACTCGTACCTTCTGGATTTGTTTGGTGTCAACTTACTGAATGCTGTTGTCCTCCTCGTTTCCCATTGTGATTGTTTTATCAAGAGATGTCCGTTGTCTTAAAGGCACATTAAGTACAAGAAACTTAAGTTCCAGAAAAATTTGGGAAAAAAAATAACTTAAGAAATGCATAGACTGAAAATATTCAGGTAACTCTTGGGGTATGAGTGCAATTGATGACACAGCCTGTAGTGTTGCATGCTTTGCCAGTTAGCTGTGTTCAGTACTGTTTCGGTTGTGTAATCCGTGTCATGCAGAGTTTTGAAATGTTCTTTGAATAAACTGAAACACAATAAACAGAGAAGTGCTACAAAAAGATTTACATCTCCTTCGACACTGCAGAAGTTACATAACTGCCCTTATGGGAGGATGTTTGTGTGGGGACAGCAAGAACAGCGAACCACAGCATTCTGTCACCTTCCTTTTATTGTCTTAGATCTCCATCCAGCCCCCTCGAGTAGAGGGGAGGAAGAGAAAGCATCTGCTTGCAAAGCCACATATTCCAAAGAAAAGGATTCCATTTCATAAAACTAGTGGCAGAAGACTTCATACAAGTGTAGGATAATAAGGCAGAGCTCAAATCTTTTTCCTGCACAGCACCATTTAGTTAAGAAAATCCATGGGATCACTAAGGAATTTCTACTATATCAAGTATTGCAAAGATTTCTGGAAAGGTACAGCACAAGTAGGAGGAAGATGCAGATTACAAACAACTCACAGAGAACAGAGGAGAGTTTATTACACTGTCTTACAAGAGCTCTTCTTCCTCTCCCTTATTCCTAAGAATCACTGTAGGAAGGTTGGGTTTGAAGGCAACATGAAGTGGAACAGCTTTTTACACAACACTGCTCTCCATGAGGAGACAAACCCTCTTCTCTATGCTCTAGTTCTCACTAGGTGTTTCCACACAGAGGCTTCCCAGCAGTCTGTCAAAACAGCTCTAGAGAGGCCAGGGAAGCACTAGCCACCCTGGAAACAATCCACTCTGTCAGCCTCATCCTTGGGGAAGAGCTGTGATCTCCCTTCTAGCCTTGTAAATTAACTTACAAGAGATATAAAGAGAAACAAATGGTTTTGCGAGACATAAGTGATTAGTACCAGCTTCCAAACTGAACCATATGGTACCACCATGTCATGTGGCCTATCCCATGTCCTGTCTCATTTTTACAGAGCTGTTCTAGGTCAGATCAGACATCCCTGTGAAAGCTGCAAGATGCCTCTTTTTTCTGATGTACCTTCAAAGCAGATTCAGGTCCTTCAGATGTTAACAGGATTGCTCCTGTTATGCAATTACTAAACAGTTCTTAAAAATATATATATTTTTGCTGTAACAACTGAAAACAGTTCATTTAATACCCATAGCTATTTAAACACAGAAATTTAAACAGCCTTCATTCCTGATCTCCTACACCAGCATCACTGCTTTCTACAGTCAACACTCTGGTTGTCCAATAGTTTCTACAGTAGCTCCCACTCCATATGAACACACAAACTCCTATGGCAACAGGCACAGATGAAAACTTAAAAAAAAAAATAAAAATAATCAAGATGGACAGAAACACATCTCACTTCAAGCAGCTTTATAATGCAGGAGTCTGATTAAAGTGGAGATAGTAAAACAGGCAGCAAGACTGAGATGTGACAGTCATTTTACCTCTGCTCATATGACTGCATCGAAGGCACACCGATGACCTTTGAGCCAGTTCAGAAGCTGTCCTGTATCTGTGAAAGTTCAAGTCAATTGTGCTTTGAATAAATACTCCTCTGTAGTTACACTTGAACTGCTGCATTATATACCAGAAATACAGACAGTGTCCATGCACAGCCCTGAAGCACTCTGAGTATAGCCCTTGCCAGGTTAACTCATGGATGACAGAAGTTGTCGGCATCACCAGCACACACAGATGGCAGGCACACCCCCACAGAGACACAGCACCCCGAGAGCAGACTGCCCAAACGAGGAACTGGCATGGAAGAAGGATGGAAAGCAAAACTCGCTTGTAGGAGTTCAGCACTCAGTGTTACTGCTGCAGAACCCCAACCAAGCCTCTGTAATAACTGGCAGGAGCCTTTCACAGGCTTGGGACAAACTCACTACCTGAGCTCACAGTTTGATTCTAACAGGACTCCTCAAGAAATAATTCAGACAGCAGCTCAGCTACTTATTAGTCATTTGCCTTGATTTTCATTTATGGTTGTCACTTTGTTTGCTCTCAAAAATATCTCCCTTAAGCTTTAACAGAAAAAAAAATTTTAAAAAATTAAAAAAATCAGTGCTCAAGACAGACTAACAACTGAATTTTGTAAGGCTTTGGGCTGACTCTCCCTGGAGCACAGCACTGCTTAGAACCAATGGGCTTTCTGGTGCCACCAGTAGCACGCTCAGTACAACAAGCTGTACAGATCACAGCAACCCTGAGGTAATCAAAATATACAGGAAGAGATGGAGTAAACGTACGATATGTATGAGACTCTTGCCACCTAGAAGAGATGCTCAAAAAGACACTCTTGCTAATTACACAACAGGAACAGCAGTGGAAAAAAAATAATAGTCAGTATATTTCAGTTTTCCTTTGTTTTACACACACACTCCCCTTAATGGTATCCGTGCAGGCTTCCCTGCAGAACCGTCACTAGTGTTAAAAATCAGATCTTCAGTCCTTCCATCTGTACAAAGTGCAGCTGGAATAGATTCTGATCTCCCAAACTGGCTGCAGAAAGGACAGAAGGTCTTCCTCTCCCTTCTGCCTAGGTCACCCCATCCTAGTTCCCCTCCCTCCTAAGAAGTTTGTTTTTTTTTTAAAAATTAAAAGCCCTAATTAAGCATGATCAAGTTGAAATTAGTTTTGTCATCTTCTTCCAGGAAGAAAAACCCAAACGAAAAGCAAAACCAAAACACACAATGCCTCACCCACCCCAAAAACAATAGTTCCATTTAAAAAAATAAATAAATAGTGTGTATATTTCATGCTGAAAAAAAAAAAGTCACAGAAAGGATTGGTTTTTGGTTTCCCCTCCCCCGAACATGACACCAGGCGTTTTCTCCCCCCTCCCCTGACGTAGACACGATGGTACATTCCAACCGGCAATGTGCATCTGTGTTGAAAATGAGTTTCTACTCCTGCACGGTCCCACATGCATCAGGGAGCATCCAGCTAGCTGCTAAAGCAGAGCAAAGGCTTTCAGGTTTGGGGTATGGTCCCTGCCTGTTCCTTTGGTCCGTCTGTGAAAAGGCTCCGTGCTGCTCCCAGGTCTCTGCTCAAACGTGCGCTCTGGTCCCCGCACCTCCCGAGTCACTGCAGCTTCGTACCCAGCTTGCGCTGTCTGTTCCTGCAACGGCGGCACAGGGAGCAGGGT